TTTGAAACTGTTTGAGATAGGACTTTCTGGAACATCCTACTGTATTTGACGATTTCTGAACAGAAATCTTTAATAAAAGCCTTTACTCCTGCTTCCTCTTCCTCCTTTCATACTTTCACAAGCAATGATCTACGACGATTCCTATAATATTATCACAATCACATCAGAATTTTCAAGAAAAACTAAATGAATCTCATCTACACCTGAAATTTCCCGTGGATGTCCTGTTTACGCAAAAGAAATGTATTAAGTATAGGTTCTTCGACATGTATAAATGTTTCTTATAATTTTCTACTAGTTTTACTGAGTGAGAACTTATAATTGTGTGACATACAGGGTGTCCCTAGACCAGTGGGACAGTTGAATATCTCCTGAACCAATAGGAATTTTCAAAATATCATAATTTCACATCATATCGCATCATGAGTGCTAACTTCAGGAATGACTATAATTTATACGAGGGGCGCAAGAAAGGCTCACAAAATCAAACATCAATTTTTTCAAATGGAACACCCTGTATTTCATTGCATTTTTATATTCTCCTTGAAGAGCTGACTTCAACGACCTAGCACACTTGGTGTCTAGCGGGAATGATTTCCGAGATATAGGGTATGGAAAATCGAGATATTTCATTTTTGGGAATTTTTTGTGTCAAAACTATTCATTATTGGTCAAAACGGCTTACATGTCCATATATTAACTTTTGATTTACTATTTACTCGTATTTAATTGAAACAAATACAGGGTGGTGTAGAATTCTGACTGAAACTGAGAATTCTACACCACCCTGTATTTGTTTCAATTAAATACGAGTAAATAGTAAATCAAAAATTGAGATATGGACATGTGAGCCGTTTTGACCAATAATGAATAGTTTTGACACAAAAAATTCCCAAAAATGAAATATCTCGATTTTCCACACCCTATATCTCGGAAATCATTCCCGCTGGACCCCAAGTGTGCTAGGTCGTTGAAGTCAGCTCTTCAAGGAGAATATAAAAATGCAATGAAATACTGGGTGTTCCATTTGAAAAAATTGTTGTTTGATTTTGTGAGCCTTTCTTGCGCCCCTCGTATAAAATATAGTCATTCCTGAAGTTAGCACTCATGATGCGATATGATGTGAAATTATAATATTTTGAAAATTCCTATTGGTTCAGGAGATATTCAACTGTCCCACTGGTCCAGGGACACCCTGTATATGCCACATCCCTGAAAGAATCATGATATTTCTGTGAAGGAAATTTCCAAAATACCATATTATGTGCCTATTCGGCATGTCGTAGTTGAAATCAGATGATTTTTTTACATGCAAACTCATAATCATTCCAAATAACCCCAAACCTGACTTATATTGATGCGATCTTATGCATAACGATGCCAATTTTCAAATTGTAGTGGCTATAATGAATCAAGTACTTCCTTTTTACCAAACAATCTCATAAAAGCGCAAAAAATGGAAAAATGATGATGAAAACACTACTTCAATTTTTGTGCATTTTTTTCCATTCTCACTACGCCTCATTGCAATGTTATATGCATAATATCTGAGATTTAACAATATTTTTCAATTGCTTTTACTCGATAATAATACATCTGATCGTCACGGAACAAGAGTATCGTTTTTCTGTAAAAAGGTGTAAAATTCCATAATCCGAGATTAAATTGTCGTAAAATATGCATAAAAAAATTTTTAGCAATAGTTCATGTAGTCCCACCCTGTATTATGCACTCCAGATTGAAATTTTGAAATGATTTTATTTTCACTGCATTGGGCATGGAAAGTTTAGTTCTTGTACCAAATTGCATCTTCTTATCACATGGAGTTTCGGAAATACTCAAGAAATATCATCTTCAGGAGCTCCCTTTTAGGGGGCCATACCTCCCTTAGGAGACATCTCTCGACTTATGTTCATTGAAAGTTGTCTTTCAATTTTTAGTAGTGAAATCCGCTGGTGAAGTTTGGCAGGCTGTATAGATTGCTGAGTAACTGACGAGAGTCGTAAGAATTCATCAATCGAGGTTTATATCCGAGCTGAAGAATTTGCACGGTGATCTCAGAAGCACCAGAAGTATCAACGCCTTCTGCAATGTTGCCAAATAGTAATGATAGTAATGTGATTCAACATATTCGAATCATTTTGTCATTGCGTCTCATACACTACACAACCCATTTTATTCATTGGCGCCCTAGAAGTGGTTCGAATTCCACTATAAGCTGTAGGTCCCGCTCTTCTTAGCCCCGCACGAGTTTCTATTTCTAGGGCGTTGGCTTACAACTTCGAAGTAGCGAAATAAAAATGCTTCATGTTACTCACCATCCGAAACTCAATTAGACTGAAGACTACAATAAGTTTATCCGATTTTCCTTTCAACTCAATGGTTCCGTTCCACTGTTCCAGTTAACAGTTCAATGAATTGTTTTAATTTCACAGACAATGCCTGCCTGCTTATTAATCTGAATATAAATTACATATTTTTGGGTATTACCCCTGCTTCTCCATTTTCTCGCTATCAGTGAACAAAAAATATCATTCGATTCCGATGCTCAATGCTTTTCCAGCGAAAACTGTGTTTATATTGCCTTTCTGACGTTTTCAGATTAATCTCATCCTCATCTAAATATTGTCTCAGGATCAGGAAACATTTCGAATGAATAGTAAAATAGTTGCACGTAGATAAATCTCGATTACTTCATGATGAATACATTTGCAGTTTTGAATTGATTGTATTTTCACCCCAGGAAGTAACTTTGCACGTATAGCTGTGATATGATTGTTACAAAATAAACTATAAGTAGGAATACCATCTAGCTCGATCTGTGGTACATAGAAAAGCATAAACAGGGTGTCCCAGAATAATAAATGTTTCCATCAACATATGTGCGAAAATGGTTCCTGTGATAGATAAGATAAGATAGATATCCAGTTCTCTTCAACTATCTTGGTTACCATTAATACTTAAGGGTAATTTGACCTTACAAATCGTTCCATGATGAGGGAAAATGATATAATATTCAGGGAGGTGAGAAACTTGTAACCGATGCTATAGATGAGAATATGATTCTCCAAACACCTCTACATACAAAGATACTCTTGTGAGAAGGCAGTTGAACGAACCGTTTTCGGTTATAATTGCACTAGTGCATAAAAATTACCAATAATTTTGCAAGACAAGAAAGCCTGTTATCGAAAAATTGCAAGTTTATTTTCATATTTTGGCAAAATACGAAAATAAACGAATGCTATTTGTATGAGATAATTCGCTTGAATGCAAAATTGTCTGGTCATTTTCATGCACGAATATAATTCATTGGCATATTTCACGAATAAAGAAATTCTCTGTAAGATTTGGTATTTTTTGGTGACGACATTATTTCACTTTTTGAAGTCCATCTGACATTTATTTGTAATCTTTACTGACGTCTAGCGACATGATTTTGAATGTGTTGTTATGGCGACGGGATCTCTTCGCAGTGCAATCTCCGCTCTGCAGTGCAATTACCGTTATATGAGGGAAATATTCGTGGGTAATATCCCGAGATCATGACAAATAGCCGACTATTATTTTCTTCATAATTCTATCGAGAGTACCTTGTATCTTGACAATTTGATGAGACCATATGAACATTAATAATCTGAATAATCTGGTAATCGAGGGATTTATTCTATGATTATTTATGTTCATATGGTCGAATTGAATTGTCCCAAAATACAAGTTTTTCGAGATGAATTACAGAAAATAATAGTCTCCATTTGTCATGGTCGAGTGATATTCAGGAAGATTATTTCATGAACAGTGTAAGAATACTGGTTTATATGAGTTTCAACATTTTCTTCAAGTTACAATGTTGCATGCAGACACTATTTGAATAAAAATTCTTCTGAAGGCCGTCTGGGGTATTCTCATCATATCTACGTACAATTGTAATCAATTCATCTGAAGTTAGAGCAAAGAAAGAATATTGACGCTATTGATAGCGTTAATATTCTTTGATTAGAGCTTCTGTACTTCCCTTTCTTGTTTGAGGAAAATATTGTAGGCTTCGCCTTTTTGCATTATGCGCAACCCTGATGACACCTTTGAATTCGATATATTCGAATGGAGTTGTCTTACGTTTATGTTCATTGAAGTAACCTCCCTGTATATTGTTTTCCATATAAATTTCAACTGTGTATTCCTAATATTCCTCACCATTCTCCTCACCCAATCTGTTAAAATTGGGGCAATCACGATGGATGGGGTAGTCGCGCAAAATTCATAGTTTTTCTGCTGGCAAATAACATTGATTGTTCCAGACAAACTATTTACTCTCCTTGTTATTTTCTGATATCGATTCGATTTTTGAATGACTGATAGGTATGTCAGAGTTTGACAACCATAGCACTCTCATGCGGGCGAACAGTATAGCCGCTCATATTGTTTGTTCACCTGAATAGCCGCTGATATCGCATATCATGTGACTTCAATCATGACATTTCATAGGTCCAGCCGGGTGTGAATGAAATAATCGAGGAAAGTGTAATAATTGTTTATTTTGATACCCGAAAAAATAAATAATGATTTTGGGCGTTTGTTCTAATCATAGAAAAAGTGAAGCTTGATACGAAAAATTTTGCATTAGTTAGGTAATTTTGTTCCATCAGTTTTGAACGGGATGTTGGTTTCATGAGATAATATCCGAAATGGAAATTGGCGAAATTTCACAAACTTATTCACTAGGTGAATGTTTTCGAACATCAGAATGTTAAATTCTACCTCTTTCTCTAAGACGGTTCGTGTTGCGTCATTCTAACAACAGAATGTAAAAGCGTTTGAAGAATCATATTCTGGTGCTAAAAATAACATGAATCATGGAAAAAAAAAGTTGAGGCCTCTTGATATATTGAATCATATTTTCCATACCACGAAACGATTTGTGCGATCAAATTATCCCGATAGAGTTTGAGAGTTCCGCACTTCCAAGAAATCAAATTCAATATGTTTTTTTTTATTTTCAGATGTGGCAAATTATACTCCTAGCGATATTTCCTCACATCATCGGATTGGTGGTGAGACCTCTGGATCCCATAGAAAGTCCACTTTGGGAAGAAAAGCTATTAGAAGCGATGTATCCAGAAGAAGAAGTTCCTAGTTCCAATTCGGATTCGCTCAAACATCGATATCCATACGACGATGAAGAAATTACTGGTAAATAATTATCCATTGAAAATCCAAAAACTTATATTAGCATTTGGAATATAACGTACTCAAAAATATCAAGGTGTCGATTCAATATTGATTTCTATGGCATCTGAGATGTAACAATTTATTAATTCACCTGATAAATAGGTAATTGAAGTTACATATTGAGAAAGCAGAACCGTTCAAATTTTTCGGCGAAATTACGATGATCTCTGACTGTATATCGTATAACTTTGTAATGTAAAGATATACTGCAAATTGATGTATCATCAAATTAATGTATACAGGGTGTCCTGCTGGCTTCCGCAATGAACCAATACATGATGCGTCAAACTGTAAGTTCACAATAGCTATCACTAATAATCATTAGATAGAGAATATATTTCTCTTGTAAGTTGTTCCTATATGAATGAGAAATTAATTGAACAAATCAATCAATTTCCTACGCTTGTAGAAAAAATATTGTTCCTAACTCATGCGGAAAGTGTCTTTACCGCACTCGACTTCTTGCCCGAACTCCGCTAAAGAAAACACCTTTGGAAAAAACAAAACAAAAATCTACAAAATCAAAAATCCTGAATCAACACAGTAGAGAATTTTCCATCTCTTGAAATTTTTCGGATTTTCTCTCCTGCGCTCGATTATAAATAATAGTAGATTGTTTCATAAGGATCAAAAGTAGTTTCTAGGAGCTAAAGTTCAACTTCAGCTCCTAGGAACTAAATGTGTTGCCTAGCAACATACCTACTTTTGTGTCAGTAATAGAAACTTCAATTCAAGAGTTAATTTTGGTATTAAAATTTTCGACTTTTGTGTCGGTTGCAGAAAACATATTCAGTATTATTAGATAATAATTTTCTCCAATGATTGATCGAGATGATGTCGTTTGTAGTGTCCAGCTCTATATCGGCATCATCGATTTCTTGTCATATCAGTGAGCACAACCAATTACCCAGCTATGCATACACACAACACAAGAAGCAAAACCCGGACAAGCACTAATCTACACCGATCAATGTCTATTTCACTATTTTAAACAGGCTATACCAGGATGTTTCGAATAAACCAAACTTCACCAGCCGCTTTTTCAATCAGAAATATAAAAATTAATCACATAAACAATGATTAATAAGTTTTTTCTGCACACGAAGGTCGTCCATTTCAATTCCAAAATCAGCTCTTGAATTGACGTTTTTATTACTGACACAAAAATGTATGTTGCTAGACAACATATTTACTTCCTAGGAGCTAAAGTTACTAGGAACTAAAAAGGATGTACTAGACGTCATCAAGAATAAAAAATATTGTTACGGTTGATTATTTGCTGCAGATATAAATATACCTCATTATAGCCAAGTATAGGAATTATAAACATCTCAGTTAAGTATTTTTGTTTCGATCAGAAAAGCCTTCAAGATTCAAATACTTGCTTCATCTGAATTTCATTGTTATTCTCGGGATGAATAGCTTGTTTTTGAATAATCACGGCAAGCAATAGTTTTTTGTCTCAAACAACGATATTGTTTACCTCTATTTCATTATCAAGTCAAACACAATGGAGTATGGAGAGGGATAAATAATCGCTATTATTATTGTTGATATGCTCACTAACCTAACATTTTCCACGTCTTGTTCCTATACCTGCCACTGGCGCGATATTCGCCATTAGAGCACCTGGTCCATACACAAATATGTCACTCGTGAGGTTGTCTTTATATTCAATCAAACATCCTTGAAAATTGAATAAACCTGCTGTTAATGCAGGTAGAATATTCTCACCACGGATTATTTGTTGCATTGCATTGGTGGTTACTTCACATATTCATTTGAGTACATTGTTTCGGTTGCTGAAAAAATAGCATGTTTCATTCGGATCGAACACAATGTAGTATGTATCTACTATTTGCTGAAGGATTGCTTTGACCCTTGAGAGTGAGTCACGATTAAACATGCTTTTTTCTACAAACGTCAAAAAATGACAAGGTTCGCGCATTGATAGCAAATTGCGAAGTGACACTTTTTTTCAGTTTCCTACGTTACAATGATACCTTGCACCAAACAATGTGCGAAGTAAAACAGTGCGCGAAGTACCTACTTCGCGCATTGTTATGTAAAATATATGAGATATTTATATTTCAACTTAATGGTCCTCAATCGAGAAAACATCCACGAAATCATTTATTTCTGAATGTTCAACAATAACTTCGTTTTATCTCTTGGAGCGCACGAAAGGAAATTCCTATTATGTTCGTGAAACATCGTGCTCACCTAGGGAGGATAGGAGAGGCCTTTTAAGCCAGTTCAACACCATTTTTTATATCAAGCTAAGCATATTTTTACTCTAAAACTATATTTTTTGACGTTTGTAGAAAAAATTTTGTTTGCAACTCGAGCGCGAAATACTTTGGTCATCTCGACTATTTTCATCAATCAGATCTCGATCACCAAAGTAGCATTTCGCGCTCTAGATACAAAAATACATATTTTCTACAAACGTCAAAAAATGACAAGGTTCGCGCATTGATAACAAATAGCGAAGTGACACTTTTTTTCAGTTTCCTACGTTACCATGATACCTTGTACAAAACAATGCGCTAAGTAAAACAGTGCGCGATATCTACTTCGCGCATTGTTATGTAAAATATATGAGATATTCATATTTCAACTTTATGTTCCTCAATCGAGCAAACATCCAAGAAATCATTAATTTCTGAATGTTCAACAATAACTTTGTTTTATCTCTTGGAGCGCACGAAAGGAAATTCCTATTATGTTCGTGGAAGATCGGGGGTACCTAGGGAGGATGGGGGGAGGCCTTTTGAGCCATTCAAACACTATTTTTTATATCAAGCTAAGCATATTACTACTTATAGATATATAGAAATATATTTTTTGACGTTTTTAGAAAAAATGTTGTTTGCAACTCGTGCGAGAAATAGTTTGCAAAGTAGCATTTCGCGCAAATATTACTATCTTCAACTTGTTTCATTGATTTCTTGTTTACCTAGAGACATCTTTCTGTTACAATAGTTAAGTTACAATAATGAAACTTCGCTATTAGTATTTGATGTGTTCCTTCATTAAATGACCATACTTACCGTTTATACCAACTCCTTAGATTCTGATTCAGGGCCAATCTAACAAGCAGAAAGTTTCAAATTCACAACTGAATATCTACAACACGAACAAGAAATCACTGATTATTTCATCCAGACTATTCGATTATAAGACCATTCCTCGATATAAATCCTTCCCCATTTCGTATAATAAATTCCTTCATTACAATTCTCTGAATCGCATAAACCTCATATACCTACTATTCCAGAGCGAGATTTCTCAGATTACCGATCTTAAGGTCATGAGATCAGTAAACCCATTTGTCTAATTAAATCGTGATTTACAATGAGAATTTTACTGATCGTTCTGACGGTATCTGAGGCAATCCAATTCCGAAATAAGAGAGATAAAATATGTATGGCATACAGGGTGTATCAAAATAACAGCGAAAAAATTCAAGGGGTGATTCTTTGTGATATTTAAGGAAATAAAGTTCATATTAACATGTGTCCTAACTTGCTTCATTTTCAAGATACAGAGTATTGATATTTCCTTGAAAAATCTTTTTTCTATCATTTCTCAATCGTTTATCCATCAATTCCAATGAAACGTTGTGGTTTTGTTAATAATAATATCTTCTTCTAGTGCGATTAGATTCGAAATAATATCTCCAGTGGCGTCACAGTGCGTAAATTTGTCGATATTCATGGTAAATGTCATTGTACGCCACCGGTTTTTTCGAGTTTCATAATTTTATCAGATTGAACTATTGTAATAACAACTTTTTTATCCTCTGTGTGATTTTTGTATCCAGCTTAGTTTTTGAGGAAACAATAAATTCGATTTGACTCCAAATTTTAATGTTGGTGTTTTCAAGACTTCCATTGAAATTACTCAATAGCACCAGTTAGAATCATTTTGAAATGTTGGGGCTTACTCAGTCTCTATCTATACTGAATTTTGGCACCATGAAAGCTTATACAGGGTGGTTTCAAATAAAAACAATTGATACTTCCAACTTCAACATCCTGTATCTCAAAAACGGGACAAGTTCTGACACATGTTTATATGAACTTTATTTGCTAGAATATCACAAGGAAACACCCCTTGAATTTTTTCGGTGCTATTTAGATACACCCTGTATAGCAGCGTTCCGAAGAGAAAAGGAGTAAAGTAGCAATGGCGATAAACCCATGATACATTATGATTATGACAAATGGAATCACAACATGATTTAGTCCAACTGTATATGGATGGCAGATAATCCGATATGAGAATTCGCAGTGGCATTCAATAAATGGGAAAATAAAATCCAAGAATCTTTTCTAAAACAACCATATACTTATGCTACATGAACTATTCGAAATTTAGACCTTTTTCCTGATGTTCTTCTGCTTTTGATAAAGATTGATCGTGAATAACTGCCAGGCGAATTTCTACAGCAAATCTATGCATTTTTGAGAAATCTCCTGAAACAGCTTGATTTTCTTATTTAATTTCCCACATTTTCAATATTTGAATCAAATTTACAGCATGATTTATGTTCGAGTTATGACCACTGCAATAATTTTTTCAAAAGAAAAACTTATACAGGGTGTCCGGAAAGGTCATATCGTAAATGATCATTACTGAACTCATCCATGGTGTTACCAAAGTATTGAATACTGTCAAATAATTATATATCAATTATGACGATGACTGCAACTGCCATGGTTTCATTGAATAAATAGAGTTTTTCCATCATTAGCTATAATACCTACCATTATCTACTCCTTTTCGAGGCGTATAGTGTGTTTTTCTACGGCTATAACACAAGATTGTTCTTGTTTCACTGTGTTCGATATACATCAATGAGGTACTTTTTATGTCATCAATTTTATTTCGTATCTGATATCACAATGCCTCTATTGTGTTATTATGTCAGAAAAAAATCATCGCCCATGGAATGTCAAATTCCAAGCAATGACAGAGCTCTGTACGTCTAACTTGACAGGAAATCAGATGGCTACAAGATGAAGAAAGTTTGTATCCATATTATGCTTGCATAATTTTGCTAACATAAATATTGTGTTTTATATTTATTGTCATGCTCAGCATATTCAGAATGAATTGCTCATAAAGATGAGAGCATCATTTTAACACAGAGTTCTTGGAAATATGCGAGTACCTGAAACATTCTCGTCGATTTCACTTTCGTCTACATTTCAGATACATTTTTAATGAAGAATTCTGATACAAACAAAAATTGTTTGAATAATTCTGTTTGCAACAAAACTTGAAAATGACACACTACATTGTTTCACCACTAACCAAACCGATTTTTTGAACGCCTCGGCACGTGTTTCGCTAAATATGTTAGCATCTTCGGGAGAAGATTAAAACCTCGAAATGCTTGGAGAAAACAACCTTGCTAGGACTTATGTACGTGTCAGGTATCCCCAATGCTTCACAAGCGATTCAAGTCATAGTTTTTTCCTAAAACAAAAATAGGTGACAATCAAATTCAAGCATGTTCTGAATTGATCTAAAAAACCTAACCTAAAAAACATCACTTACCGAAAATAGTGAATATTTGGGAATATGCCACTACTGCTGAAGAATCCAATGAATCATATTGAAGGCATAACGAAAACTCATCGAAAACGTAGAAAAAATGCAGAAAACGGAAAATTGTGAATAAACACCAAATAAACACAAAAGCACAAATCGCCGCCATATTGGTTCTCCTTGCTGGAACAAAATCATAACACAGTTTTTCCCTTCTCCTCTGTGTTTTAGTTCTGTGACCCGAACAAGTATCCGAAAACGTCTTATTTCTCCTCCTCTGTTCCAGGCCCGGACCCCGACTTCCTAGCGCGCCCCCCCTCCTCCAAGCGGGCGCTGGCGATGTTCGCGCGCTGGGGCTCGATCAACGGCATCGGCAAGAACAGGCCGCCTATCCGGTCGCACGTGTTCGACGCGGAGGACGCGATCAGCGCGCAGACCAGAGGCCGCATGCTCGGACAACCGCTCCGGTGGGGCTAAAGGCATCCATGCAGGCACAGGCGGCCTGCGGGTCGGTCGGCCGGCCGGCTGTTCTGCTCGACTACTCGAGGAGTTGTTTAGACCGTGGTAGAAGTACCTAGTGAAGAATTGTTTGTTTGTTTTCCACCATTCAATGTTACCAGTTATAGTTTTCACTATATCAATATAGGACAATTTCAAAATATGATATTTATCAAGGGCGCTCGTTCTCGAAACTCCGCGAGTGTTGAATACTTGTAAAGTGTACTTATAAATTTCATACTGGCGGAGTTATGAGAATAAGCATCTTTGGTAGTGCAGATATATTTTATTACTATTTCGATTGACTTCATATAAACTATACATATAACTACTTGTCTTCGACCTGTAAGCTTCCAACCCATACATAAATAATGTTCTCAAAAATGCATTCTGCAAGTTTCGAATGACATCAGAGAAGGTCCGAATTTTGATTTACACTAGGAGAACTTCTGATCTTATTACTACAACTGATAATCTGATCTACTGCAAAATTTGAGAAATTTCAATATACCTCTAATTAAGTTCTTCGTTTAGTTGGTTTCCCAAAAAAGAATTGTGTAGTTTGCGAGCTTTGGGAAAGAGTGCTTTTAATAGAGGTTAATTTTTTAATATATTTCAGCTGACTTCGTAAAAACTATAGCTGTATCACTTTCAGTTTCGGTTTTCTTCAAAATGCTTTCTGGCGATTTTTCCATCAAATCATAAACAAGTCCATCGGCTAGAACAGGCCGCTTATGCGGTCGCACATGTTTGACGCAGAGGATGTGATCAGCGCGCAGACCATGCAGATGCCGCGGCTAATTAGAGTGTAGGGGTAGCACCTTCACAAAATGTCCATGACTAACAGAATTCCTCTAAAAGCTCTCCAATGTATCGTTTGTTTTGAACATAATTATGTGGGGATTAGATTTTGAATCATTGATGAATATAGAAAGAACCGTATATTAAGAACAATTAGAGCATACATACATATCTAATGTAAAATTAAAATATTTTTCACACCACTAGCTATAAAACCTACCATTATTCTTATTCACTCCTTTTCTAGGCGTCAGGTGTGTTTCTACTACCAAGATAGTTTTCGTCATTTTATGAACCACTAGTTAATAAAGACATAGCCATTTTTGTTGTAATTAATCCGAATGCACTGTTCTGATCAGATATTTGCAGGAATGGCACTCGAATCTAGTAGGTATTTATCAATACAGACTTGTCATATGCTGTCATGGTCATAGCTAAGTAATGAATATAAGTGCTTTCATAGTGACAATAGGTCCATATTTCAGTTTCACAGAGCTATAATGAATGAAATATATTGCTAGTGGTGAAAAAACATTAATATAAACCTTGGTAGTGAAGAATATTAATACCACGGGACTTTATACCACTCGGCTGAAGCCTCGGGATATAATCTTGGTCCCTGGGTACTAATAATATTATTTACTACCTTGGTGTCTAAATAGCTTTTACTTGCTCTTCGATCTTAGGCTTTCTATACTTATTGAATTTGAATGAATTTGATTATTTCAACAGTTGCCGTCAAAACAACAACTAACAGAGTTCCGACGAGCTTCTCAAAATGCCAACAAAATAAATATGTATACATAGTCAAGTGTTGATATTTGGTTGTTCAAATTGGGTTGACTATCCCACTCATCTTGAGATATCCACCAATCGCAGATATCTTCAATAAAAGTCACCCAGATCGAGAACCAATATCACGAAGTACAGTATCCAAAATTTGAAACGATTCGAAGATACTGAGAATGTGAAGAATATTAGGACAACAGCATTATATGTTGTAGTTTCATCCCTAGATACACCACAAACTCTACAACCCAATTGAGCTTAGATCATGGAATAAGTCGAATGTCAGTGATACGAATTTTGAAAACGGAGAGCATATGCTGAAAGGACAAATACATTCTGTGAAACGTGAATGGCGAGAGGTATCAACTTCATTAGGAATATTATGTTTTCCGATGTCTGTCTAGATCGATGAATAGGCAAAGCCGTCAATACTGGGCGTTCGAAAATCCTCATTGAGCTCAATTATAGCCATACTCAATTTTCAAAGAAATTGATATATTGACAATAGAACCATTGGACCATTCCTCATTGGAGGAACGTTGAATAGCGACAGATACCTTATATTATCAGATGGAAATGGTCACGGAAAAGTCAGAATATTTGGTTTCAACAAGACTGGACACCACCGCATTTTGCATGCAATGTGAGGTAATGTAAGGCAATATACGTTCTCCGGGTTCACACCATTAGATTTCTCCTGTCGAAAATATTGTTTACAAAGAAAGACCAGACAGTCTCGAGAATTTGGAAATTGTTATCCGAAGAGTGATGGAGGATTTACCACGAGAACACATCAGAAACAGTGTAGATGCAGTCTATAATCGTCTAGCTCATTGTCAGGAGGTCAACGGACAACAATTTGAACATCTACTCAAATGAGTAGTCTCTTTTCTTGTTCTTGTTATGTTTTAGTTATTATTGATGAGTACTCTGACCGTTTTTTCAGATGTGTTTGTAAATATTGTGAATAAAACTATCAAATAGTATATCAGTGAACTTGTTGAAAAATTCTCCATCAAATGATAGGGTGTTCTATTTGAAATAAGGAAGTTGATAATAATTCCGGAAAAACTGAAAACGTAGCAACATTGGCGATATAATTCTCCGAACCGCCACATTTCCAATTCACCATGTTTATAAATTCAGAAAGATCTAACGACTTGTTACTGGGATATATGAAATAAGTTGAAAAGTAATCAAGATGCGGGTGGTGCTCACAAAGTGAGAATTTACAATTTCGCCCTGTATCTCAAAAACATAAAGGACTGTGGAAATTATGTTTGCGGTATTATTAGTTTCACATAAAAGTAAGGCATGAGCGTGAAGACCGCAACACTGCTATCTCCAAAGATAACTGAGACAGGACACACTGTACAGTGTTCAAAATAATAGTAAAGAAATAGGCATAATCTTTTTCGCAGTTTTGAATACTATTTGCACTAATGTATCAAAGCTCCTATTCCGCACTTTCAGCAGTGCGCAAAATCGGATTTTACGATAGAAAGGCTAGACGCTATTCGTAATCTACGCTCCCAATTTCAAATTCCAGAATCATTCTTCCACCGTAACAATAATCCAGAAATTCTCATTTCCAGTTTTAATTATCTCACTCCAATTTTTTTCATGACCACCCCTATCTTTATTGACTAAATCGGCTTTCCGTTTTATACCGAGGTATCTATATGTACAGCCGCGTTTTTCTGTGTTGGAAATACGTTTGTGGCTCCAATGAAATGTGAGGGTTCAGTTGCAACCAACTTCGTGCAGATATAAAGAATTGAGAAAAATAAATATGGGTTTTTTGAAGAGGATCAGTAGGCTTTCTACAGACTTGGGTCATATCAAATTGTCACGCATTGCAAGAAAAAAGTGTTGCTATCAGACGCGAAATAGGACACACTGCGCAGAATTACATATACAGGGTGTTCTCAAAGTTGATGAATTAATTTCAACAAGATGAAGAACTCGAAAATAAGTGTGATTTAACCAATGACTGCCACAAATTACGAAATAAAAATAAGAGACTCACCGATACCGAAACGATCAATTTTCCATCATAAATGTTTAAAAAATTTCTCAATATTGTTTATTCAAACGTGTTGGGTGATTTTATTTTATTTCAAATGATATAATCTCCTTATATTTTGACCCCTGCCTAATGCATCAACTATACAAGGTAGAAAAAAACTTCAAATTTGAAAGTTGTAGGGTTTCATCTGTACTATCTTAAAGCACTCCTTATACAAACAAATGCGAATCGCGAAATGGGAAAAATGAGTCCAAATCTGTTTTTTTTTTGTTTTCGAATAAAACACCTTATATATTTTCAGCTCTAGTGAAAGATCTTTTTTCGTTCACTACTGAAATCTTTGCATTATTTCAATAATACAATCTTATTATCTCATTTGTTTTTTGATGTATGAAAAATTGATATTCATCATACAGGATGTGGAAAGAAATTCTGAATTAATAAAACCAAATCACGAATCTGCGATTGAAGGTCTATTGAAATAACAAGTTTTCATCGTTCAGTTTTGAATCCATTGATTGGGTGAAAGTATGGAAAAGGAATATTCTCAGATGAAATCCAGGACGGAAAAAAAGGATTTGTAGCATCAACAAATTATTTATGCTTGAATTATTTTTGTTGGAATGAGCAATTATTTGTTGAATCAAGTTGATCTTCCGCCTCTAGATGGCGATATTTTCGCCTCGACTATGCCTGCCTCGAATTCATTATATACGTAAAGACTGATTCTTCGTGATGAGATATCAGCTGGATAAACCGAACTCAGGATGCTTAGCAGGCCGAAATGGTTTCGCATCAGTTGAAGAGAAGTGTAGTCTGGAAAATCCAGAAAAATTCCCGAATCAATACTGAATTTGGTTGAATCAACGAAATATTTCATTGGATCAACAAAATATTTCATTGAGTCAACCAAATAAGTCATCGAATCAACCAAATATTTCTTTGAATCAACCAAATATTTCATTGAATTAACTAAATATTCGATTGAATCAATATCTTTTATTTTGAAAAAATCAAAATGATTGTTCGAGCCAATTCAATATATCTTCATGAATGTGCTTGATCGAATAATATCCAGAGTTCATGCAAGACATATTTGCTTGATTCAAACTTCAAATTCGCTCTGAAACAAGAAGAAAGATTTACTCATTTCAAGATTATATTTTGTCGTGCATATACGACATTTGTATTTGCTCCATTCAATTAAATTTTGCTCGATTGGCTTGATTCAATAATTCCTTTTTTTTCGTGTTTGAATACGTATGAATGAAAAGTATTCTGCAGAATGCTAATTTCGTATGAAGTCAGGAGTATATTTTCACTTTTGTTTCCCCTCCGATATTGAATAATGAATTGATTT